AAAAATCAATCATTGTACAGTTACCTGTGAGACTCTGTTAACCTCATGAGGGTGAGCCACAGGGGAGATAAGCAATCGAACACCTCAGATGTCTAAAAGTGTAGTTTTATCTTCCCTTCCTCCTTCCCTTCCTTCTTCTTTTCTTCCTTCCCTCCTTCCCTTCCTCTCTCCCTCCTCTCTTCACTCCTTCCCTCCCTCTCTCCCTCCTCTCTTCACTCCTTCCCTCCCTCCCTCCCTTCCTTCCTTCTTTCCTTCCTTCCCTCCTTCCTTCCTCCCTTCCTTTTCTTTTTCTTTCTCTCTCTCTTTCCCTTCCCTCCCTCCTTCCTCTTTTCTCTTTTCTTCCCTTTTGTTCTCTCTCTCCTCTCTCTCTTTTTCTCTCTCTCCCTCCCTCTCTCAAACTAAGGCCTACATGGGTTACAAGGAGTGGAGAGCATTACCGAGAGAGAGGAAATATGAGAGATGTCATTTCCAACTTGAAGAAATTTCCCTAGGAACTCCCCACTATTTTCTTGGCAGTCTGAAATACTTTGTGATCTTCAGTAACTATGCAAGAATAATGAAAAATCCAGATTCTCCTCTCTAGGCACTAATGTAAGGCTTGGGTCCTCTCAGGTACAGTGTGATGGGGTAAATACCCAAATACTCTATTTCTTACATATCAACTAGGAAAAAGGTGAAAAAGTCATTCTAGGAAAATATAAGGAGAGATTATCCCCAGGCTTTTCTTCGTAATAAACAAAGGATAGGAGAAGTTTGCAACAAGCCCTAATTCCCAAGTGCAAAGAGAAAAGGTTTCATCAAGGCAGGGATTCCAGCACGGCTCCTCAATTCAGGGTGGTTCCCCTTGTCAAGCTTTGGGCGACATTCCACAGCTCTTTACTGAACCTGGAGCTCTGCCAAGGCGGGAGCATCATCCAGTCCCTGGCATCTAACATATTGTCAGTTGTGCAGAATGACCTCAAAAATTATAATTTATCAATAGATGGTGGATGGATGGCTAGATTTGAAAAGACAAACCTAATGAGCCAGGCAGAACAAGTCAAACTATTTTTTTAAGCTTCTTATACTGAGATGACTAAGACATATGGAAGAGTTACAAAAGCACCGCAGGGAATTCTGGTATACCCTTCACCTAACTTAACCTTAACGTGTTACATAGCCAAATATAGTGATTAAAACTCTGAAATTGCTACTGGCACAAGAATAGACACATAGATTAATGAAACAGAATAGAAAACCCAGAAATGGACCCACAACTCTATGGCCAACTCATCTTTGACAAAGTGGGAAAGAATGTCCAATGGAAAAAAGAGAGTCTCTTCAATAAATGGTGTTGGGAAAACTGGACCACTTTCTTACACCAGACACAAAAATAAATTCAAATGGATTAAAGACCTAAATAAGACAACTAAAACTATTAAAATCCTAGAAGAGAACATAGGCAGTAACTTCTTTGATGTTGGTCATAGCAACTTCTTTCTAGATCTGTCTCCTGAGGTAAGGGAAACAAAAGCAAAAATAAATTAATGGGACTTCATCAAAATAAAAAGTTTTTGCACAGCGAAGGAAATAACGAAACTAAAAGGCAACCTGTGGAATAGGAGAAGATATTTGCCTATGACATATCTGATAAAGGGTTAGTATCCAAAATATATAAAGAACTTACAAAAACTCAACACCCCAAAAATGAATAATGTAATTTGCTCAACATCACTCATCATCAGGGAAACGCAAATCAAAACTACAGTGAGATATCACACTTCACACTGGTCAGAATGGCTAAAATCAGCAACACGAGAAACAATAAATGTTGGCGAGGATGTGGAGAAAGGGGAACCCTCTTGCACTGTTGGTGGGAATGCAACTGGGGCAGCCACCGTGGAAAATAGTACAAAGGTTCCTCAGAAAGTTAAAATTAGAACTATCCTATGATCCAGCAAATGTACTACTGGGTATTTACCCAAAGAATACAGAAATACTGATTCAAAGGGGGCACATGCACCCCAATGTTTATAGCATCGTTATCTACAATAGCCAAATTATGGAAACAGCCCAAGTGTCCATGGACTGATGAATGGATAAAGAAGGTGTATCATATATATATAATGGAATATTATTCAGCCATAAAGAAAGAATGAAATCCTGTCACTTGCAATAACATGGATGGAGCTAGAGAGTATTATGCTAAGTGAAATGCCAATCAGAGAAAGACAAATACCATATGATCTCACTCATATGTGAAATTTAAGAAACAAAACAAATGAGCAAAGGACAAAAAAAGAGGGAGAGAGGGAGGCAAGCCCAGAAACAGACTCTTAACTCTAGAGAACACACCGGCTGGTGACCAGAGGGGAGGTGGGTGGGGGAGGGGGGAAAGAGGTGATGGGGACGAAGGAGGGCACTTGTTCTGATGAGCACCGGGTGATGTATGGAAGTGTTGAATCACCATATTGTACACCTGAAACTAATATTACACTGTATGTGAACTGGAATTTAAATAAAAACTTAAAAAAAAAAAAGAAATCGACATTGGTATAACCCTATTAACTGCAGACTTTATTGGGATTTCACCATTTTCCCACTATTGTCCTTTGTTCTGCCCTGGGTTCTGATCCAGGATTCCACAATGCCATGCCTCTTTAAGGCTCCAAACTGTGATGCTTCAGTTTTCTTGTCTTTCATGACTGTGGCAATTTTGACGACGACACTGGCCAGGGATTTTTTTGAGTGTCCCTCTATTTGAGTTGATCTGATATTTTCTCACGTTTAGAGTAAGGTTATGCATTGTTGCCCTTCTGACTGTGCAGTATTCAGGGGGAACATGGTGTCAGTATGTCCTCTTACTGGTGATGTTTACCTTGATCCTTGGTTAAGGTGGTTTCTGCCAGGTTTCTTCTCTATTAAGTTGCTATTTTCCTCTTAGTAATTAATATATATGTATTTTGGAGGCAATACTTAGAGACCGTGCAAAGACTCTGTTTCTCCTTAAAATTTTGCCCCCTAGTTTTATAGCATCCTCCGGGTTGTGCCTACAATAATGATGTTCCAGTGGTGAGTTTCTGTTTTCTTCATTCCTTTTACTTTTGGTAATTGGAATCCTGTAAGGAAGAGTTGTGTCTTCTCTCCCATTTATTTATTTATATCAGTATGGACTCCAGGTTATATATATACATATAGATATAGATATATAGCTATGTATACACATATACTTTGAGTTAAAATCCAAATATATATATATACACTTTGTTTGAGTTAAAATCCAAACTGTCATTATTTTGTTGCTCAGATCATTCCAGCTTTGCCCATTGGGAGGTTCTTTGATTGATTGCATGTATACTAACCCAAGCATGCACATGCATGCACGCACACACACACATCTATTTATTTCTGCATCTGTGAATTCATCCTGAAACCTCACATCAATCCACACTGTAGGGTCATTACTATAGTCAATACCTTTTTCTTATTTGTAGCTTATTTCTGTGACAGTGAGAAGCCTGGCTCTCATGATCTACAATACATTTTCTCGGTTTCCCATAACCCTGTGACAGAAAAACAATTTAGCAGCTGGATAACAGTGTTTGTGTAAGATGCTTTTAATCTATAGCTTTAGAGAGTTCAGTCAGAACACTCTTTCCCAAAATTACTTAGGTCATCCCTCTCCTCCCACCCTCCTCTGTGTGGTTATGCTTACACTCACCCGTCACGGTCTGCCTTCCTTCCCAGGTTCTCCCCGCATCCTGGGGGATGGTGTCTGTAATGTTATGGGCAGTAAAACTGACTCTGTGGTTTCCAGTTCTAAGAGTTATGACGAGTCCAGAGAGTTGCTTACCAACACAGTTTCCTACACAACACTTCCATCACCCCCTAAAATTCCCTCGTCCTGCTTCTCTGTGGCCTTGTGAGATGTATGTGTATGTTTACCCTTACAAACTGTCAAGCGATTTTCCAAACTGCCTGGATTGTCAGGTCTGTGTGTGTGTGTTATCTTTTGTAGCCATTCTGATAGGCATGTTGTGATGTCTAATTGTAGTTTTAATTTGAATTTCCCTAATGACTAATGATATTACCTTTTGCGTGCTTATTTGCCATCTCTTGTGGGTTGAATTATGTCCCCCCTTCAAAAAGCTTCTAACTCCCAGAATATGACCTTATTTGGAAATAGGGCCTTTGCAGATAATCCAGTTAGGATGGGATCCCTAGGGTAGCTGACATTAGGGAAAGTCCCGGAGTTCACAGACCTGGCATGCATATAAAAGGGAGATTTGGACACAGATGCTTGTACACAGGGGGCATCCCATGTGAAGGCAAAGGCAGAAATGTATGAGCCGGGCAACAGGAGATTGCTGGCAAAACTCCGGAAGCTGGAAGAGAGGAAGAGAGCAGGTTCTCCCTCCCAGCCCTCAGAAGGAGCCGACTTTGCCGACACCTTGATCTCAGACTTCCAGCCTCCAGAGCCGTGAGAGCGTACTGTCTGTTGTCTAAGCCCCCCAGCCTGGGGTACTTTGTCATTGGAACCTTAGCAAACTGATACACCATCTATAGATATATTCTTTGGTGAAGTACCTGGTTAGATTTTTACCCACTTTTTTTCCTGTTCTTGAGTTTTAAATATTCTTTAAATATTCCAGATACACATCCTTTGAAGTCTATTTTGTAGATGAAGAAACGGGTTCTGAGAGGGGAAATAATCTGTGCAAGGTCACATACGCTTGTCTTAGAAGATGTCGTCCCCACTGCTCTTCTACACTCAGCATCTTTTCTTCCCTCCCTCTCCCTTCCCTCCTTCCTTTTCTTCCTTCCTTCCTTCCTTCCCTCCCTCCTTCCTTCCCTCCCTCCTTCCTTCCCTCCCTCCTTCCTTCCTTCTTTTCCTTCCTTCCTTCCTTTTCTCCCTCCTTCCTTCCTTCCTTCTTTTTCCTTCCTTCCTTCCTTTTCTCCTTCCTTCTTCCCTTCCTTCCTTCCTTCCTTTTCTCCTTCCTTCTGTCCTTCCTTCCTTTTGCCATCAGCCAGGTTCATCGTCAGTTATCACTGCTGAGGGCACTTCCTATCCGTGATTTAATCATGGACTCAGCATCTTTAAATGCTTGCTGGGAGTAAGCCTCCGCCAGCCCCCTGTCCTTGTGAACTGTGATAGTTCCGTAAAGGCTGCAAATAAAGGAGCATCGCTAGGGATGTTGGAAGTGGTGGCGACTGGCCTGCCCCCACCCCGAGAGAGCAGCTATCAAACTGCGTGCTGTGCTCCTGGGTAGCTTGGGGAGGGGGGACACAGGGTGAAAATCTGCACATCCCCATGAAACAGCATTGAGTAGAGAGGGAAAACAGCTGCAGCCTTAAGAGAATGAAAGATTCCTCATGTTCTGTTGGCCACGGTGACGCTTTCAGAAGCATATTACCAGCCCTTTTTTGAAACAGCCTTCTTGAAGTTTGCTAATTTAGGATTACAAGGTTCGCCTCCCCCCTCCCGGAGGGCTGGGCAGGCGGCTCCTCTAGCCTTTGTATTAGGAGCCTCCCTTCAGGCAGCGCCTTAGGTAGTGGTTTCATACAAAATAGAGTCTGTAAATCTGATGAACGAAGCTGGGGCACGGGGTTCCCAACCTCTGACGGGTGAATGCGCCCCTCCTCTCTTCCTGCCCTCCAGTTTTTGTTAACAGTCTTCTTAGAACGGTTTTAGGTTCACATCGAAATGGACTTGCAGGTACGGAGCTGCCCTGTGCCCTCTGCCTCCCCACACGCGCAGGCCCCCTACCGGGCGCAGCGCCCCCCACCATGCGCAGCCCCCCCAACCGGGCGCAGCCCCCCAACCATGCGCAGCCCCCCCCCCTCCCACGCACTGGGCGCAGCCCCCACCGGAGCGGCAAGTCTGTTACAATCCGTGAATACACGCCCGGCACAGCCCAATCATCCAAAGTCCCTAGTTTGCCTCGGGGTTCACTCTTAGCATTGCCCTTGCAGTTTTTATAAACCACAAAGCCTTTCTTTCTAGTTTCTGAGTCTGTGGGGCTTATTTTCTATGACAAGGATATGCAGGGAGACAGGTGGACATGGGATGGGGCGGGGGCGGGGGTGGGCAGGGGATTTCCTACTGTCTTTTCTCTCTGAATTATCCTCCTTTCTTCATCGGATTCAGCCCAGTTTGGCTTAGTGAAAATTCCTTCTAGAATCTGGCAGGTTAAAACAGTACTGATTTCCAGTGCTGTTACAGTGGGGGGGGTGGTGTGTGTGTGTGTGTTCCTGCACAGTACATATTCCAAGGAGACCTGAAAAGGCCATGAATCGGGCTGCTGGCTTTCCACCACCACATCTGGAACTCTCTTAAGTCTTGCCCAGAGCTACAGATCCTCTCTACCTGTGTTCATGTTGTTCCCACCTCCCTGCTTTCCTTGATCTGGCAAGTTCCTACTTACCACTCAAGATTCAGCTCAGCTGTCCTCTCCTTAAGGAAGCTTTTCCTGAACTCCCAGGCTAAGTGGGCCATGTACACCCTGTTCCAGTCTCTTAGTCACACTTGTTATATTGAGTGTTAGATTATAGGGACACACCATTATTCATCTTTGTGTCTTCAGCTCAAGTCACATTGCCTCAGGAAACCCCAGGATACATCTTACTATGGGTAACCTTTGTCTAGGGAGGAGACCACCCCCATCAGATTACAGAGGGATTTGAATGTCCAGCCTCAGAAAATGGGCCAGGTTGAGAGCATTACCATACTCCCCACTGTTTCATTTTGAGTATACAATAATGTTTTCTATCAAAAATGTAAGAGTATCTAGTTATATACAGGTTAACCTAGATAAGACTTTAGTTAAAAAGCTCCCTTTTCCAGAGAAAATTTGGTACAGAAATTATTTCATGAAAATTCATTCATTTTATCGATGCTTTATTAATGTTGCATGGATATAAAATTCTACAGATCATAATTTTCACTAATAAATACAAATGTAAATAAAAACAAGCTGCTTTCAAATATTAAAAATGTTTTAGCCAAATGTTGGTGGGCTTATTCTCAAGCATATTGTTTGAAACAACTCTAAAGCTACAAAAGATCAGAATTTGTGCTAAAATAAACCTTACTCCCCCATAATGCAATCATTTATCAAAGGAAAAGAAACAATAGGAGTTTGATTCACTGGGACATTTTCAGCATTTATAAATGCAACGTGTTCTTCCTACTGCACTTACTGGCATCCATCTTCCTGTCCCTTCTTAGCACTAAGCTCACACTAGAAAAGAAGGACACAATTATGCCCCCCAGGAGCCCGCCCCTGCTTCTGAACCCTGACTCCGGGCATGGCCATTAGGTGCATCCTTACCCAGGGTTACCCTGAAGATTCTTCAGAGGTGTCGGTCATTCCTCAAACTACTCTAACAATACCCTTTTCCTTCCTTTAAGTACTGTCTTTCCAACCATGTTCTTCTCCGAATCCAAGCTCTCCATTCTCTGTAACGAGCTCACAGGTGCTCGTGGCTGTGGAGGACAAGACTCTTCTCAGGAATCGAACTACTACTCATAAGCTCAAAGCAAAATCGGTCATTTTACAATTCTTGCCTCAGGCCAGAAAGTGAGTATTGAGTAGGTTAATTATCCTAATTTGAAAAAGGAGAAAACAGGTACAAAATGAGATTAAGGGACTTATTAAGAATCCCTGACATTTGTTTAGCACTTTTGTTTTCAGGTTACAATGAATCATATGATCTGATGCTCACAACAGAATATTTGTGAACTAAGCAGAGCAGATGTCCTTTTACAAATGAAGACACTGGGGCTCAAAGACGCAAGTCGTTGGCCTAGGGTGATGTCATTGGAACCCAAACTCAGAGCCTTGATTCCCAGCCCACAGAGCCTTTGCTTGTCACACCATAGTTCCTCTTGTGAACGTGAACGTGGTGAGGAGCAGCGCGACTGCCCTCAGCACCACCAACCACAGTGCACTGCGTAGATGCTCTGAAATCTGAGGAAGTGAAGACCATTGTCTTGGATGAGGAAGCCATGCACCATTTTCAGACGCATGCTAGACAGTCCTAATGCGCTTGATACATGACAGCCGGTAGGTAAGTAACTGTGGAGTTGCCATAATTAAAAACAGAAGTATAAATGATAATAGATTGGAGAGAAGCAACCAAACAGTAGGTTGGGAATCAAAGTAGTTCAGATGGGAATGTCCATGATTCAACGTTCAGAACAGCATCTTGAAGAACAATCTTGGTAAAGGATCAATACAAAATGGATTTTAAGGTCCTTATTCCTATAATTAATTTTCCAAATTAATTTTTAAAATTTAAAAATGATTTGTTTTAGCTCTCCCATAAATTATTTTGATTATAAAAAATTGGCTTTGGGGCGCCTGGGTGGCCCAGTCGGTCAAGCATCCAATTCTCGATTTCAACTCAGGTCATGATCTCAGGATTGTGAGATCAAGCCCCACATCAGGCTCTGTGCTGGACTTGGAACCTGTTTAAGAGTCTCTCTCTCCCTTTTCCCCTCCCCCCCCCCAAAAACCTGGCTTTGCCCTTAGAAAACCAATATCTGTTAGCTTCATTTTAAACATGATTTGATGATTAGAAGGCCTCCACTGCGGGCGTGACCTTGCGGAAGAATTTATGACCTCGAGAATTTGTACTTTCAAAGATATACCCTGGAGGAGAAGGATAGCTAGCAGGGCAGATTTCCTGTTTCTTTGGTGTGTACTCTGTAGAGTACATGGTTGTATCATCGAATGGAGCAGAACTCTTAAACAGAGCATGTGCTGGTTTGCAGCTCTCCGTCGGAATCAGCTCATGTGGCACGTAGTGAGACCTGAAAGTGCTCCAACCATCAAATTTTCCAGATGGGTTGGGAATCTGCTGCTGCTGCTTAATAAGACCTTGACGACAGCATTCCCAGGCTGGAAAATCTTCCTTTGTGGTGCTTTTTCCTTGAAAAGGAAAATTGTTATTTCTTCTTTGAGCAACTGGCCTGATGGGACTGACACGTTTGGTCTGATAGGGAACATAGTCAAGATGGCTTGTGCTGTTCAACTGCATGGTACCTGTAGGCGGGACATATTCTTGTGGTTTCTTGACTTCGGGTGGTGTGATTTCCCAAGGTTGAAAGCTTTCACGGAATTCCGTGCTTCCTTCAAAATGAGCATTTTGGGTCACTCTGGTGTATGGAGGTCTGCAGATTTTTGCAGTTTCGCCAACAAGACCCTGAAAGTCGTATCGGTGAGTTGTGAGATCCTCAAAGGGTTGGTTGGTTGGCTTGTACACTTCTTTTGGCCTTGCAAACTTGAGTTCTAGCTGATAAGGTACATAATCAAGGCGATGACTTGTCTCACCATTAAAAGGGACTGTAGAACGTTTGACCACAGGGCTGGGTTTAAAGCTTTGCCTAGGCTTTATCTCCTGAGGAACATAGTCATCCTGAGATGTAGTTGAATTTCCAAATTTCACAGTGGGGGGATGATAAGTTTGTTCAGGCTTATAAAGGTCAATTTTCTGAATGTCCCAAGCTCTATAATCATCTTGAAAATAAAAAGAGAGCATTTAAAATACTGAAGAAAACAACCTTCTTCTAAAAATCATGACTTACTTCTCTCATTGCCAAACATCCTCCCATTTCCTTCAGAAATCTGAACACTAATCAAGTCTGAATTTGCTCAGCTTCCCCTGATTTGTGTTTTCTTCATATCCACCTTCCTCTTCCTATCTCCCCACTTTAGTACATATAACTTTGTACTTCTAGATTTACCTGAATACACAACAAGGGAATGGAACATCTGAGCTTGGATTGTTGATAGTTTTTGAAAGCCTGTGTTTTGGGTAAAGACCAAGTTTAGGAGATTATGGTTGTGTTTTCCAAGAACTGGTTGGGATTTTCACCATAACTCATGACATGCTAAAGTAAACCATAAAATCTAGGGATTAACATAAAATCAAAGGCCCTGATGTGTGGGCAAAGTGATGCGGGTTATTATTCTTTGCCTTGGAGGGACTCCTCAAAGGAGAGAGAATTTCAACTCCATTATACTGTAGGAAAGCCTGTTGGACTCCCTGAGCAAACATACAGAATAACTTGTACTATCCCAGAA